CAGAAAGACCCAGGCTTTTTTTTTTTTTTTTCCCCACAGCTAGGACTTTGTGGCAAGAAGTCCCAGCTTTGCCACTCAGTTGGTTTTATGTCTTGGGGAAGCTGTATCATCTCTCTGGCTGCATTTTCTTTTTCTATAAAATGAAGCAATAGATCATTGAAAGATTTCTTTAACTTTGTGGATTTTGGGGTGTATTTTATAAATGATAGCACCAGTACCATTGTGGCTGGATTTTGATCCTGTTTCTTTTACTTAGAATTTGACTTTTCATAAGAAAAAGGGACAGAATCAGGGTTAATTTTAATGATATTAATAAAGTACTCATGAAGTTGATATCTGTAAGTAAACTATCAAGCATTTATGTGCCAATCATGTTATTCAACTTTCCACATGTTTACATAAATTATCTTGTATTATCCCTGCCTTCAAGTGAGTGATGTGATGTTATCGTCTTAATTTTACAGATGAATAAAATGGAAAGGGAGTGCAAGTAACTTTCCTCAGATCACACAGTGCATAGTTAGTATTTAAACTTAGCTTGTTAGCAGCCTTCAGAGACCACGTTTGAAAATAATTTGTTTTTTGGTTGAGGAGGAAACGTCTGTGTGTGTGTGTATGTGTGTGTGTGTGTGTGTGTGTGTGTGTGAGAGAAAAAAATAATTCCTCTTTTGAGAATGACTAAAAAAGGAAAGATAAATTTTCGAGACAATTAAAAGTTACTCTCTTTTGTTATAAAAGTTAACCTTTAACAATCTGGAAGAAAAATTCTCTTATATTGGGTTACAAACCCTTCTGCTTCCATTTAATTTGTTCAGTTCTAGTTTATCTTTTTGAGGCAGTGTCATTTAGTCATATTTACTATTTTTTAGTAGATTTTTGTAGCACCCCCTTGCATCTTGAGTGTCTGAGATTCTGTCTTACAGTTAAGTCCACTGTTGTGTGAAGAAGACAATGACTTCTGGAGAGCGTGTGGCTCCTGAATAGAGGGTCACATCACTCACATCATCAAACTGGGGCACTCCGGAGATGGAAAGGGACTAAGCAGGACAAGAGGAAGAAAATGAGATGCCTACACAAACCACAATGTACGGCCTCTTTTCTGTGGATCAGCTTCAAATTCTGGCTTAGATACTCGCTGATAAGGGATCTGGCCACAAGTTACTCAGTTTCTCTGTCTGGGACATTATAATGGCAACTTGCAATAAGGACAGAGGAAAAGTTATCTAATGTATTTGTGCGTAGTAGGAACCTCATGACAGGTGCTGTTGAGAGAAAGGAAAGTCCAGGGCTCAGTACCAGGATTAACACCCAGTGACTACTCATTGCCTGCTAACAACTTTATTATTTAGGCTGCTACTTTCTTACAGCCTTTGGCTTTGTTTGTGTCTCTTCGTGGAACTCTTCCCTCCCTCATTCTCTACTTAGCTGCTTCTAATCTGGTGTAGTTTGAGAAACACTGTAGCTAGTGTATAAATGTGCCTGGAAATGTCTACCTCTGAGAAATAAGCACGTGTTTGCCTCTGTCCAAGCTTTTATCTTTGCTGCCTGAAGATTTACTTTCTGACCTTGTGTATGGCCTGAACAATAAAAATTGTCTATAACTGACTATTGTATAAGTGATGCCTAATAGCAATTCTGTGTTAAAATATTATAGTTTGATTGATAGGCGATCTTTAGCTATCCAGATAGTTTTATAAGTTTCATTTTCTACCAGTTTACAAGGAGAGAGGAGTCCTATTCAAAGCAGTGAAATAGGGTAGAATAGAAATATTGTATCATCTGATAATTTCAGAATGTGAAGGGTTAACTTCTTGCTTCTCAAAATAAGACATTTATAATTCCTAAGAGGGAAATGAACTTAGCTGTGCTTTTAACAGAAAGGGCAAAGTATTATAGGAATGTATATCATTGTAATTTCAAATGGGCATGCGGGGTAAATTAAATGTGGCTGTAATTTCCCTTGTAGTTTAAAAATCATAATAAGAAATTATTGTGTTTTTCTATATTCTCTACTAAAGTAGCAGAGACCATATCCATCTTAGGACTTTATCTCTAGCATCCCACACAGGCTCTAGCACATAGTAAACTCTTATTATATAATAATTGGTGAATGAATGCATGAAAAGGACACAATTGAGTATAGATAATTATAATATGCTGAATAAAGTGCTATGTGCTAAAGTGCTGCTCACCAGCTGTGTGAGTGTATGCACAGAATAAACCAGTCTGCTTCAACCTGCTTCTTCTTCTGGTGGCTATTCTCAGGTGAGAATGATCATTTTGGGGCTGCTGAAAAAGCACTTTAGTATATACTATTGCATTTTTTCCAGAACAAGAAAACATCTGCTCAAATAAACCAATACCCACTGTATTAATTTCTTTGCTCACACTTTAATTTTTTCACTCAAACATCCAGCGTGCTGCAATATGACAGGAAACACATTATGATAAGGCATGGCTGGAGAAGGAATGGTAACTAAAGTCCTTTACAGTTTTTCATGAAGAGTATGAAGTTTTCAGTTTCTGCATACATGAGCTGCTAAGTGTGATCATGTATGTATGCTTATACATAGGATCACTGCACTTCTTTGTTATGTGTGTTTATTGGAAATGTTATAGCTCTTGTCTTCATATTCATTGCGTGATTTTTGTTTTTAAAATTTTTTGTTGATACATCTTTGCAGTATACAATGATTATGTTTCTTTGTGGGGAGTCAGTATGCATGCATAATACATTTTAATTCTTTTTTAACCCCTTTCTCTCCCCTCCCTTTGTCCCACATTCCCTATGTTTAGTTCAATTCAGGCTTCTTTATTCTACTCTAGCAGTTGAGACTTTATTTTATGTCCCATTTCTGAAAAATGGACAGTCACGGTGAATGATTAATTGAAATGCGGGGACACCCCTGTTTTTTTTTGCTGGTTTTTGTTGTGTTTGGGTGGATATGTTTGCAAACACATGACTCTCAATGGTTCTCATTATTAATGATGATGAACAGTGTGTACATAGGCAAACTCAAACATTCACAGTGTGCTTTTTGGCTTTGGAACGTGGTCAGATACAACCCACCTACCTCTCTCCACACCTTTCTGTCTTTTCTTTCTTGTCCCCCACTTTGTTTCTCACTTTTCTAAACTTTTAATGGCTCTTTTATGATTCTTTATTTCAGGACCATTGCTGACTCTGCAGCCTATATTGGACTATATCACAGGATGTGGCTTATCTGTTGTTTCTAGGCTTTAATAAATTCACAGTCCAGTGTAGAAGGTAAGTACAAAAACAGAATAAACATGTACACGTTTCCTTTAAAATTTGTAAGAAGAATAAAGGAAGCTGAGAAGAAGCATAGATTGTATTCTCTGGAGAATGAGTAGGGAATGACTTCATGGATCATTGGACATACATACAATCAAGAGTGGGCATTAGGAGACCTATCTTGGACCAATCTCAGGCCATGTTAGGTCAGTTAGATTCAACTTTAGGTCTTCTGTAGACAGTGAGTTTAGGAATGTGTTCTAACTTTTCAGTGTTTGAGCTTTTTATCACTAACAGGTGGATAAGAATCTTTGCTGGGATGAAAACAGAAGAAAACAATGTTGAGAAATCACTTTGACAAACCTTGGGTGATTATATGTGTTATCTTCAATTTGCTGGTATAAAACCCACCCAGAACACTGAATTGATGTTTCTTTCCAGCCCCCTCATTTCTCTGGAGGAGTCTAAGGAAGGCCATCGCTCTTTTCTGAAAGATCCATCAGATGAGACACAAAGCCTGAATTCCAGCCCTTCCAAAAGCTGCAAGTTTTTTAATGACAGTGACGATGGCATTGCCCTATCCTGGTGGATTACTTAGAACACTTCCAAGCACTTACATAGTCATGATCTCAAATGGCATTTGGGTGAGAATAGTTACTATCATCTTTGCCGTACCCGTATGTCCACGAAGTCAGAGTAGAAAAATTAAGTCAGAATAGAAAAAAGGTGAGAGAACTTAAAAATTACAGAATGTAATCACATATGAGGAAGATCAGTCAGAAAGAGATTAAACAGCCAGTGCAGAGTTCCATAATTCATTAGAAAGCAGAAGTAGACTTTAAACCCAGGCTTGCCTAACTTTTGTAGCTGAAACATGCAGGGCTTCACCTTTGGTCTCAAGCCATCTGCAGTGGGTAAGCTCTTTAACATTGGTTTTTATACTCTATGATACTCATTCTCCAGCCCTACCTCACACGTTTCCTATAAAATGAAGGACATTCTAAAAGGTAACACTTAATTGTAATATAGGAATTGGCTAGTTGTAGTAATCCTATATTTTGTATATGAAAGAACAAAATGATTTTCACATCTAAATATCTTCCCCACTGTCACCGATTTCTCTATTTTGTGAAGTCAAATGTTCTAACATTTATATGATGTTTTTGGCATGCCGGGCATTGCCACTGTCTCTGTTGGCCTCAGACTTTGGCCTTGACTCCATCCTGTGCTCTGAAGGCTGTTGGGAGGGCAGCTTATCTGCACAGCTCCAGGCGCGACCTCTGCCTGTGTCCTCAAACTGATCTTAGCAAATGGCACAAGGCCCAACCCCAGCAGTAAATATGCCGGGAGAAATGAAATCTAATTAACTTCCTCTTGTTCAGATCACCGAGCTGACTCTTGAGAAGCTGTCAGTGTTACTGCAGATGGCTTTGGCTCTTCATTCACATTCTCGGATTCTTCTGCTGCTAGCTAGAAGGAGGAAAATAGCTACTGGTAGGTCTTGGAAAGCCCTAAATTCTGAGTACTCAGATATTTCCTGCATTCTGCTCTTTCTAGCACAGCTGTTCACAAATAATAGGGGACTCCAAACAATCTGTTATAGATTCATAAGGACATAAAGCTCATGAATGGCCCCGTGGGAGGGATGGATTTCATCTTGTGAGTTTAGGGCAACTTATTGGTTATCTTCCCTTCCCCAGTCCAAGCCACATGTAGTCTTCTAAATGCCCTCTGTGGGTTAATTTATTTAAACTTCTAACGGTCCCATGAGGAAAAGTGCCATTATTATTATTTCCCATTTTCCAGACGACAAAAGCAAGGCATTGAGAGGCTAAGTAACTTGCCCAGCTAGTCGGCAGCCTCAGAATTTGAGCTCAGGTGGATTTAACTCTATCACTGTTTCTCATTCATTATCCCCAGGGTAATACTTGACTCTGGAATCAGAAGACCTAGAGAAGAAGTACATTCTGGGTGCAGACAGTGGAGTGTTTAAAAGCTTGAGGCTGAAGGGTGCTCACTTTGGAAAACTTTAGGAAATTTACTGCTGGGGGTGGGTTTGATTTTCTCACAGGTGAATGTGAGGGGCTCAGCCGTGATGTGTGAGTCTTAGGCCATGCTGAGAAACCTGGCTACTGGAAGCCATTGCAACCTTAAATAGGGAAGAAATACGATCAAGCTTGCCTCTTAAACCAGCCATGTACTCACCAGTCAAAGAAGTGAGTGAGATGGGTTCAGCCAGCCTTTAGGCCCCTGACCTCGGGGCCAAGGTTCAGCCTCTCTTCTCCCCATAAAAACAGGATGATCCTGAATTGGAAACAGTTGCTACAGGGGCTAATAAAATCTCCCAAGGCCGAGAAAGCCAAACCACAATTTAAAAACCTTTCTTCACAGTTGGCAGCTTCCTTGAGTGACTTGTGAGTATGGGTGCCTGGCAGCTCTGCCTGTGCTGGTAGTATATTGCTTTACATCCTCCTCATAAACCTTTCTGTTTATTTTGTGGGAGGGTAAAGTGTCTGACAGACCTTAGCCTGGAGGAAAATAAAGAAGCAGGAGGCTTTAAATTCTCAAGTTCCAGGAACTCCTTATATTTGGAATTTGGAAAACCGGGGAGCTTACCTAGGTGTGCCTTTGTCAGCCTTCTGTCTCCTTCCTGGCCTCCTTTCCCATACTCATGACGCCCTTGGCTTTTCTCCTGTCTCATCTCTGAATCTCACCTCCCAACAGACCAATGTTCTCATATTGCCAAAGCCTCACACTGCAGCTCCCCAGGGCAGGCCTGCCCTTTCCCGAACTGCCTGCCTTTCAAAATTACTTCCTTACAGTTCTAGTTACAGCTATTAAACTTCTCCTGGGGCTGAGCTCAAATGTGTGTTAGGAGGAGAGCAATTTAATTAAATTGCATCACACTAAGACCTAAAAAACTTGCATCCCCCACCACATCCCTCCAACCAACCCAGGTATGTTACCAATGTAGTGAAATAAACAAATCTCTTATTATTATATACACAGTACTATAGTAATAGGGATATCTTCCAAATGGGGCTCATTTTTAAGGATTCCTTAAAACACACTTCTTTGAAAGTCACCCTACTTCTAGCCAAGACAGATCTGCCCCTTGTGTATGTTCCTATCTGCTATACAATTTTTGACATTCATCTCCTATTTATCAGGTGCTCTTCCTTTACCAGTAGTCGGGGTGCCCTGGCTGGATTATCTAAAAACCTGAATGACTATTTTTTTTTTGCCCTGTGGATCACATTCACAGGAAGCAAGAAGGGCAGACAAAAGATGGGGGTGGGGAGAACAGAGACACAGAGATAGAGACAGAGAAACAGACAGAAAGAGAAAGTTATTTTCAAACCATTATTTGAAATGGTAGGAGCCATATGAGATGGCAATTGTACTGTATGAAAAATATCCAGCAAGTTCATAGATTGGTGTTGAATTTGAAGCTGGAGATGAAGATTCTTTTGAATTCCAATCTTGTATAAGTTTCCTAATGTCCTTGGGTCTGAGTGTGATCATCGGTAAAGTGAAGACATTAGCCCAGCCGATGTTGAGGAAGGCAAGGAGAGGTAAGACATGAGACAAAGTTTCCTGATGTTGGTTTTAAGAGATCTTCATATTGCATTTACTTACTTGCTTGTAGGTGGATTTAGAAGTCACACACACAAAAATTATATGTAATGTTTTAAAAAATAAAGTTAAATGCATTATAGCACATAATAATGACAGATAGATAATTTAAACATTTCTTTCTTTTAAATGTCTAAGGAAGATGCTAAGAAAATAAAAAAAGGCAAAATATCCTCTAAGCTAAAGGAGAGAACACTTTCAAAAGCAAGCACAGGCCCAGGATTATCAACTGTGTCAACAGGAGGACAAAAAGGTGAAGTTGATGGCATTTTTCTTATTTTCCTGTGTTATAGGCATGGATTATCTTCAGTCATCTTGAATTTTATCCATCACTGGAAAGATTCTCTTGGACTGCATGAGCTTTAGTGTCTTTTCTGATAGGAACACACGATTGACAAGCATGCATTTGCCATCACAGAGCACACGCTGATTTCGGGCAGAAATGACAAGAGCCTCGACTTCAGTCTCTGTGAAGGGCAGGACCCCAAGAAAGGTCCAGCTTGCTTTGCATGGTGGAGAATTGCTCGTCAGTGCTTCCACCTCCTTTTTCCTAAGAGTTTCGATGTCATCTCGTTACAAAGGCCACTCGGGTTGGCACTTTCACCACCCTTATTCACACTTTGCTTTTCCCTGTTTACCCATCCAGGTAGAAATCATTTGTGATGTCAAACTGTTATCTTTTCATGTGGCTGTGCCAAATACACTGAAAGAAATTATAAGATTTTGTGGATTAAGAGCTCTGATTGTATCTCTTTATTATCTAAGTATTGGGTTCCTGAGTCAGAAGGTAAACTCCTGATACATTTAATTTTTTTCTTTGATACTTGCACCCCCAATGAAACTCAGAATTGGAAACAGAATAAATGCTTTATAGAGTCTTATTGTGGAGCTTCATAAATATTTACTTTTTTTTGTTGTTGTTGTTGGTACCGGGGATCAAACTCGGGTCTTTGTGCTTGCGAAGCAGGCAGTGGTACCACTGAGCTAAATCCCCTGCCCAATATTTCTTGAATGTACCTGAGACCCTTTATCTGTAAATGATTTAATCAGAATAGAGAATATCTTTAGTATTAGGAGTGCAAAGAGACAAAGGATATTTTCAGATCATTTATTTCTCTAACATTGACATCCTGCTAAGATAGGACTGTTTTCCTGTATACCTTGCATGACCGTAGGACAGCAAGAACCAAAACATCAACTTGGTCATCTTGGGGATATTGGCTTGTGGTCAAGCACTCTTTCACTACAAGGCACACAGTAAACTATACAATCCCAGATCAATTTTAGAGGTGCTTGAAAAATTCTTAGATATGATCTAACTCAATTTTCTTGTTTTACAAATAAAGACATGGGGCTAAGTTACTTAAGAGATGGTAAGCATCTGTGCTGCCAAAGCGAGCATACTTAAGAGATGATAAGTATTAGAGAAGTTATTCTGTGAAATTATTGTATCTTAAAAAAGCTCCTAAAATTCCACAGCATAACAAAAGTGATTTTATTTTATTTATTTATTTATTTTTGTTACTGGGGATCGAACTCGGGTCCTTGTGTTTGCAAGGCAGGCAGCGGAACAACTGAGCTAAATATCCGGCCACAGAAGCGATTTTATACGATCAAGCTCAGGGTGTGAGTGAAGAGCATGTTAAGTGATAGCAGAAACACAATGTATCTCGTGGTGGATACTGCCGAGTATCCTCCAAAGATTCCTTATCCCTTCCCGGACATAAGGTTAAGCTAGGAAGCATATGCTCAGTTAGGGAAAATTTTAGCTCTGTTTTCATTTGCATGGGACCTAGATCTGGGTCTAGACCATGGAATGGAGGGGTAAAATTAATGTGCACCAGTTCCAGAATTGGCCCTCTGATAGTCTCTCACATTTTCCTCTCCTCCGCCATCTCTTCCTGCCTTATGGTCTCTTTCCTCTATTGTCCTCCTTTGTTAAAGATTACAATAACTAATAAGACAATTAAGAAATAAGGATCCAACTTTAGCTAAAATTTACCTGTTGGTTAAACACCCCGTAGGATGGCAAGACCTTGCCTACATCTTATGTAGGTAGAGAAACATTTTGTTTTCCATCTGTCAGATTGGAAAAAGCTGAAAGGTTTCATAATATTTTCTTAGGCTTTTGATGGATAGATTTTCTCACATACTGCTAATAAAAGGCTGGAAAATTATAAAAGGAGAACAGGAGATATTTATCAAAATTATATGCTCATTTGATCTCAGCTTAGTAAATTCACATCTAGAATTTACTTTTTAGGCATACTAAAAAGTACATTTTTGGAATGTCATTAGGGCTAAGTTATTCATTTTATCATTAGTTGTAAGGTTAATATGTGCAAAATTGTTTAAATATTCATCCATAGCATGATGGGTAAATAAATTCTGGTGTATCCACAAATTAACTACTACACAGCTGAACAAAAGAACAAGAAAGGCTGCTATTTATCAATATGGGACAGTTTCCAGAATATGTTGCTTTAGTATAAAAAGCAAAGTTCAGGACAGTGTTTAAAATAAGGAAAAGGGATATAATATATTTTCATATGTTTTCTGATCTACATAAGGAAACCTTGCATATCTGAGAAGTTGAAAAAGGGATAGGAATAGGAATGAGAGGAAGATTTCCCTAATTGAAATCTTTTTATATTATTATCATCATTTAAATGAATGAATTTCCCATTAAAGTACAGTTACATTAAATATAAGAAAAGGAATAAATTACAGAGGTTATCCACGCTGGCTTCTATCCAAAAAAATCACAGAAGTAGGAATTGCTGCTTAATTAATGCTAAGGAGATGTTATTAAAGGAAACACAAGAATCACTTTGG